CGTTTCAGAAAGGCGAGGCGTAGAGGAGAAACAATGTACATTATGTGGAAAATAATGTGTTTTTTGAACCTTAAACCGCATAAATACATTGCATTACACCAAATACACAAAATAATGTTCTTTTTAGCAACATCATATGACCCCTTTAAATAGGTTATGTTAATATTATGTATAGGCATATTACATTATGTTTTTTAACAGTGTTCTTCAATAAAACCATGTGATTACTTGGTTTTGATACTTTATACTTTATTTGAACCAATTATTATTGTCTTATCGTTAGTTTAATATATATATATATATATATATAAATGTAGTCAATATAAAGCCTGTTTGTCACTTAGGTCTATTTTATTACTGAAAAATCAGATTACTCAATTTTCATAATAATCAGTAGATTACTTGATTACCAAGATAATCATTAGTTACAGCCCTAGATTAGTTAAATGTTTCAAAATACAACTACATTGTTTTGCTTTTTGTAATTAAAGACAAATATTTTGTCATTGAAAATTTCTTTAAAATAGTATTAAAATACTGTCTCGTTCTAGTAAAGCAAGTATCTGTATTCTGTCTCATCTCATGAGCTAAGTTTAATGTCACACCACTAGTGTCTACGAGCATGATATAGCTCATAACTTTCCAAATGTATGATGAAGCTTTTACTATTCAGGTCAATCATATATTCATAAAAAAAAAATCACTTTGAATAAGGAAAGTCTCCTAGTCTCCTTCAGTTTGCCACAGCCAAGGCATGCTTTGCATGTGCTGCAATTTTTCTATTTAAATATATATTAAAATGTAATTTATTCCTGTGATCAAAGCTGAATTTTCAGCATCATAACTCCAAAGTATTCAGTGTCACACGATCCTTCAGAAATCATTCCAGTATGCTGATTTGCTGCTCAAGAAACATTTCTGATTTTTATTATCAATGTTGAAAACAGTTGTGCTGCTTCATATTGCTTGTGGAAACTGTGATGCATTTTATTCTCAGGATTCTTTATTTGAAGTGTATTTACTGTCACTTTTAACCAATTTAATGCATCCTTGCTGAATCCAAGTATTATTTTTTTGCAAAAAAAAAAAAAAAAAACTTGATGCAAACTTTTAAAGGGTAACATACTTGTACAATGTAAATATGCATGTTAATGTTATTGTGCACAGATTTCAGAACTAGATATTTTTGCGGTTTAGCTTCTTTCATAAATGGATTATTTCACCCCTATGTTTTGAGTTTTGAAAGTGACACTATGTTTTCATAGTACATCTAGCTCTATATTTCAAAAGATCAAGAAAGATTACATTTTTCAGGATATGACCCAAAAAGACTCCTGACTGAAACTGAGGACAAGAAGACTATATTTCAACCAAAGCATGTTTGTGATCTCTGTGCTGTGATGTCTGTGTATATCAGAGGTCCTAATGGAGTGTGGACGATGGCGGAGAGAGGCGAGATGCCTCACTTTAACACCATGTTTGAGGACGCGTGTCCCAGTCTGACTCACATGGCGCTGCTGCAGCTGCAGAGGACAGGACACTTCAAATACCTCATCAGCCAGAACGTAGACGGCCTTCACCTGCGCTCCGGCTTCCCCAGGTAATGACAGATATTACACACAAAAACATCCAGTCTGATTGGCTGTCTTCATGCCGATCCCACATCTCTCATACCGTTTTGATTAAAGTACTGACCTCTGTCCTATGTGTGATGTCAGATGTGTCATGTTGGTTAGCTCTTTTAATTTTCGATTCCTGCAAGCGAATGCAATCAGCATGTCTTGTTCCAGGCAAATGACTCGAAGCTGTTAATGTAGAATTTAGCATATTGACGTGATGAATTGCACATTTTATTCAAGCAGACATAATTAAAAGCCCTCAGTCATCATATATTGTATTGTATCGTATTTTTTTGTTTTGTTTTTTTTGTATTATTGTTTTGTATTTGAATTAGGGTTATTGTCATAAACTAAAACTTTTAATTACTTGATATAATATAAACATTAACTGAAATAAATTAAAATACTAAAAAACGTATTTTATTTCAGATTGTTGCCAAGGAAATATTTGACATTTTTGTTTAGTTTCAGTGGAAGTACTAAAATAACTAAAATTAAAACTTTTAAAAAATTATTAATTTCTATTATTTAAATAAATTTAGAAAAAGAAAAAAGAAAAAAAAAACGGAAATGACAACAACACACAAAAATTGCTTAAAATTAATGAATATTAAAATGGAAAATATAAAAATAAAAACTAATTCAGCACTAAAATTAATACTAACGTACTAAATAACTAAAACTTACATACATTTTAACAAAAATACAAAAAACGATGACAGAAACAAAAAAATGTACTAAAATTAAAAAGAAAAATTAAGATAGCTTGAATTCACTCTAAAAACTGTAATAGTAAATTAATTATACTAAAATAACACTGCTTTGAACTGATATAAACAACCCACAGTCGTTTGCGCGTATTGATGGAATTGTGTCATCATTTACTCATCCTTTCTTTAATCACTCCTCTTTCTCTTGTTATTGATTTTGGTTCACTTCTCATTCTTCTGTTCTTGTTGGGTTTGTTTATTTCTCTCTGTGTCTGCTAGGGATCGATTGTCGGAGCTGCATGGGAACATGTTCGTTGAAGAATGTGAGATGTGCGGCAAGTATGTAATCGATGCCACTGAACATGTTAATGAAATCTGTCTGCAAGATTAACCACGTCGTCTTATGTAGTTTAACAAGTACAAGACATTCAGGACTGTCTTAAACTTGTTGCTGTGTTACTGGTTGCTAAGGTCAGATAATGATGTAAAAAGACAGACTTTAAATTATTTATTTGACCAGCAGCACATAGTGGTGGAAACAAACTTCGGTCTAACTTAACTTTGTGAAGTTTCAAATGACTTAAGAAAGAACTTAAAACTAATTTATAGGTGAAGTATGTAAAGCAAAATCTGTTTAAAGCAAAATTTTGTGTTTATTACAGGTTAAGCTTAGTCAAAAGTATTTGTGGTATATTACCACAAACATTATTTCCATTTGTCCCTCCTTTAAAAAAAACAAAAAAACAAAAACTGACATAAATGAGGCCAGTCTTTGAAGATTAAAATATTTTGTTTCCTTGTCAAAGCAGATTTTGAGAAATTTAGCATTACATCACTTGCTCACCAATGGATGCTCTGCAGTGAATGGGTGCCGTCAGAATGAGAGTCCAAACAGCTGATAAAAACATCACAATAATCCATAAGTAATCCACACCACTCCAGTCCAGCAATTAACATCTTGTGAAGCCAAAAGCTGCATGTTTGTAATAAATAAATCCATCATAGGACGTTTTTAACTTAAACCGTTGCTTCTAGCTAGAATACGAGTCCTCTAACTATAATATTGCTTTCTCCAGTGAAAAAGTCGTCCTGTCTGCACAGATCAAGCACTGTTTACAAGCCAAAACAGTCCAAAATAGCTCTAAACAAATATATTGGTGGCTTTTGATGTGAGGACAACAGGAGATGGACTTTTCACTGGAGGAAGTGTTATTATGGATTATGGACTCGTATTTAAGATGAAATTGATGGCTTAAATTTAAAACGCCTTAATGTCACTTCACAAGACGTTAACTGATGGACTGGAGTGGTGTGGATTATTGTGATGTTTTTATCAGCTGTTTGGACTCTCATTCTGACGGCACCCATTCACTGCAGAGGATCCACTGGTGAGCAAGTGATGCAGTGCTACATTTCTCCAAATCTGATGAAGAAACAAACTCATCTACATCTTGGGTTGTGTTGATTGAGCTTAACTTGTGCTGAACCTGAAATATTCCTTTAAAGTTCAAAGACTATAAGGCATTTTGTAAGTTGACTCAACGCTGTGTGAATGCTTTCTAAACATTGCTGTTTATTTTTGTCAATTTCTGATTTAAAATCAAATCCTGCACTAACTCAACAAAACATAATTCTACCAGTTTTGGACAGAAAAATAGGTAAATAAAGAAAACAAAAAAGTCCGAAAAGTCTTTGATGAATTTACAGTCTCCAAAAACATACTGATTCAGGTTTATTTTTCTAGTGCACAGTGTATGTTTGACATTGAACATGTGCTGTATTGAAATTGTATGTGCATCATAGCTCTGTCTAGCAGATAAACGCTGTGAGAATGCTGTGCTATTCATCACACACACAAATCTCTATCAAAGGAGGCAACGGGTCGTGTGCAGGTACTGCCACTGTCACAGTGATAAGCACTTGTTTCAGGCAATATGTCCCGGGGACACTGTAATTGGAGTGATGGGTCTGAAGCCAACCGGATGCTACTGCGATGTCACACGCTCAAGAGGACTCCGATCTTGCAGGTGATGCACCATCTTAGAGGAATGCATCCATCATGATTTTCCATGATTCAGAGAAGACAGAATTTCACGATACACAAATATTTTTATTAGGGAATTTATTTATTATGTAATAAGTAGTAAAAAGCACGCTACCGAGCAAGAATGGAAGGTGTTATTATTGTAATATTATGTGCTTTGTACTGTAGTGTTTTCTCAGTGGTGAATGAGACATGATATATCTGACAGCGTTGCATTCAGTCCTCCACCAACGCCGTCTCTCATCATGTCGCTAGTTAGCCTCTGCTCTGCCTGTGTGCGTTCATGTGTTTTGGAGGAGGCGTGGCTTTGCAGAGTGATTATGCAGGGAGGGTGGGATCTTGCTTTCAAAGCTAGCTTGCTATTGCTAGCCTCTCCAAAATCGCCTACACTACCTTTAAAGGCACAATATGTACGATTTTTTTATTAAAATATCCAAAAACCACTAGAACAGTGTTATATATTTAAAGAGTGAAAAATTTAAGGGGGTCTGAATACTTTCCGTACCCACTGTATATATATACATACTGTACATACATACATATACACAGTTTTGGGAAGGTTACTTTGGAAATATAATAGGTTACAGATTACAAGTTACTCCTATTTAAAATGTAATAAGTAGTAAAAAGCACGCTACCGAGCAAGAATGGAAGGTGTTATTATTGTAATATTATGTGCTTTGTACTGTAGTGTTTTCTCAGTGGTGAATGAGACATGATATATCTGACAGCGTTGCATTCAGTCCTCCACCAACGCCGTCTCTCATCATGTCGCTAGTTAGCCTCTGCTCTGCCTGTGTGCGTTCATGTGTTTTGGAGGAGGCGTGGCTTTGCAGAGTGATTATGCAGGGAGGGTGGGATCTTGCTTTCAAAGCTAGCTTGCTATTGCTAGCCTCTCCAAAATCGCCTACACTACCTTTAAAGGCACAATATGTACGATTTTTTTATTAAAATATCCAAAAACCACTAGAACAGTGTTATATATTTTGCTGACTTGTGTACTTACATTATTTCAAATGTTTTGAAGAATGTTTAAATCCAGAGAAATAAGCAGTTTTAACTAGTGACACGGACTGTGTCCATAGTGTCATTGTGTCTGCCAATGACGTCATAACCCCTCGATTTCCGGTTTTGTTTTGTAGAAAACATGGAAACACCAAAGACGCTTTAATATGTTGTGCGTTTTAATAGACCGGTGACGACTGCACAGAGTAGCATTATAACAGAACTTTCAAAATGTATCAAGTATGATAAAACAGCGCACGACCGGAAGGAGCAGAAGCGGTCGACTGTGGCATAATAAAAGCTCCGCTGCTTTCGAGCCGTGTGTCACGCTCGTTCAGCGGCCTCGTTTCGCTTCGACAGCTTTCAGCCTCACCCTGCTTCATTCTACTACGTTAATAAATCATTAGCTCATCCATGAACATGATTTCTGCCGGAGTCCCATCGGATTGCATCGGCTGTTGGGATGAACTCCCATGATTCCACACTCAGTCACTGCGTCATCAAACTACGCCTTTGT